GGGTTTTAGTTGACTATGATAGGAAAAGTCTTTTACGAAAGTGGGGATGGGTCGATCTTTCCATAGGGAAGGTGCAGGGAAAAATGAGTATTTTTGCAATAACTCAGGAAGGGCTCGGCCAATCCTTCTCATCTTCTTCTCTCGACCGAGATATTGTTAAGACTGAACTGTGTAGAAAATTTCATCGCGATCGGACTCCTCTTTCGAAAGTTATTGGATAAACGGACGGCCGGCCGGACACACTGACCGATTTTAGTAGTGTACTCACTGTTTGAGTACACAATAACAACATTGACTTCAATAAGTGATAAGATAAAAAAATCGATCATACTTGAAATAATTATCATCGGAGTATGGATTTTTTATCTAAACCTGTCAAATTTTTTTGTATTTAAACCACAAACAAAATAAAATAAATTTATATTTTAAAATAATATTTTCATATACCAAAAAACAATAAAGATTTATTTGATGAAATGAAGACCAAAAAACAGTATTTGAAGATAAATTAGAAAAACCACAATAAATATTCCATTGGATAGATTCAAGGAATTGACAAACTTCTAAACAATTGGAAAATAAAGCAACTTGTGTCGTTGGATTAACTAATTGAAATTCCATATTTTCAAAATGACACAACTAAAATATTATTTAAGAAAAGAAAGAAAGAATTATAATGAATTACCCAATAATAATCATTTATGGATAAGAATTCTCAAGATGAACAATTAAATAACCAGTTTCTTGTATTGTTGAATTTTGTCGATTTGCCATTTTAATCATAAATTGATATGATTTATTAGATAACAAAGATTTAGATAAGATTTTTAATGAAGATTTTATTTTATTATTTATCTTTTAAATAAATAAAATATAAAAGAATAAAACTTGGTATTACATATCTGATTGATTTGATAAACATGATGAATTTGAATGGCCGTTTGTTTCATTATCAATTTCAATTAATGATCCTTCAAAATTTGGAAAATTTGAAACATCATAAATTCAACAATAATATTTATAAATTCAATTCCATTTATTTCTAAATAAAACAAAGATTCTCTTTAAAAAAAAAGTAACTTACAGATCAATTAAATGTATATCCATCAATATCTTGAGAATATTCACCTGGATTAAATAAAAGATCTTATTCATAACCATGTGTAATCATTGATGTTCCTATTTTAACAATATTTTATTGAGTTATTTTCACATAAACAGATGATAAATTATCTAAACAAAATTATTCAACTATAGTTACTGTTTATTTTAATTGATAAATTCCATAAGTTAATATTCATGCTGGAATATATAATTCATTTGATGGTGTTATTAACTTTTGATCAATTTGAGCTTCTATTGAATAATTTATTGTACAATTATAAATTATCCATTGAAGAAGAGGAGAAAAAGCTCCATTACAATGATATTCAATGTTTGAACTGATATAAAAATCTTGATAACGTCGATATTGTTATAGAGATGGTAAGTTTATCACACATTGGTTGTATTACACTAGCATCAACTGAAGTACTATCAGTACTTTCTATGCAACTTGAATATCATAATTCATTGAATATACATTTTGCATTTATATGTCAAATGAAAGAATTTAAATATCAATTAGGTATTCATTTGCCAAGAAAATCAACAATATTAACAGATATAACAATAACAAAAAATAATTCTGAAGAGAAACAATTTCAAACACAACCAAAATTATCAACAAAAAGATCAAATTCAATAAGTTCGAATATTTGCGAAAGCCAATAAATACATCATCAAATATTACCAGATGGATAAATTAATTTTCGTCAATTATCAACGATGCAAGAATTAATTCTATGAAGAAAACGTATGAACATATTCTGGTCTCTATAGCAAAACCTTGCTTATCAATTTTCCTTTATAAACAATTGTGGAGGGATTTCATTACAAGCCAACAATTTTAAATTTTAGTGAAATCATAGAGTAAAAGGACTCAAGTTTAGAATGAATACAAATAGATTCTTCTTATGTTGATTTCAGTTTAAGACTCAAATGTTTTGAAATTAATTAATCAAATAAGTTAAAAGCGAAGAAAACCATTGAAATGTTTTGCAATAATAATTTATCACAATAATTGTAAATTCACGGATGAATTTTGATTATAAGTAAGTTTAACGGAAATATTATTTCCTCTATACTATTCGAAGCGCCTTTGACATTTTTGTACAAAAAATATACTCGTTTTCACAATTCATACGGAATAATGAAATTTAAAAGTCTTTTCTAACATATCACATTTAATGTATATCAAATGAAAAATTTTTCTTGACTAAGTGATCGCGAATATTTTTATTAAAGTAATTCAACTAACAATTTTTAGAATGCGTAGAATAATGTTGAACAACAAAGAAAAGTAATATCTCTAATAAATATTTCTAATCTACATTATTATAACTCATATTAGAAGATTTTCATAATCGATGTACGGGCTTGATTGATGCAAACTTGACACCGAGGAAAAAGGCAAACAATAGACAAATGAAAAAGCCGGTCATTTGGATGATGAGCATTGATGTGTATCGTAAGTCATAGAGAATTTCCATCGGTCGACATGCTAGTGCAGTGGTCAGTTGATGGCATATAGACGAGCCGACAAGATAGATAAGTACCTTACGACACCAACAGAACCACATATAAGGATTCTCTGGTGGATTACCAGATACAGAATTATATATCGACTCCGCTGTTAAGATCAATAGATAGGATCCAATGCATAGAAAGACAATTAACATTTTCATGGAATTGTAGCTATTAATATTGTCGATAGAAGTTGATAATAACAATGAAGGTGGCAACAATAAACATCGTTCTGTAAAGAGATAAAAATAAGAAATATTTTTGTCAATAATGTTCAAATTCAATGAAAGTGATTCATTGATCAGCTGAGCAGTTAGTCTCATTTTCGTGACTTTCACTTCACCTCATACTTAATGCGACAGATGATCTTTTGCAAGGAATGGTTTCTTATATGTTTTTCTAATGAATTAATCGAAAGTACTTACTAGTGTAGGCTCGATTGAACCATTCATCCCTTGTCAACGATCCATTAATTTTATACGATAATAATTCTGTCATCTCTGTTGAAGTGCTGTTCATTAGAGGTAACCAAAAGCAAAACTGTATACAAGATAGTAATATCCACATATGCATAGCTCGGAACTTATTACACCAAGCGAACATTCGATTCATACGCGTTTTTATCCTGAGAACAAACAAAGAAAAGCATTATTTAAACAGTAGATTCTTGCATCTATGTGCGGAACCGTTCTAGATTATACTTCGATCTTTCTTTTCATAAACGTCATCTATTTTACCAAACAAAAATCATGGTGAAACGTAGCTGGAACTCTCCTGCTTCACGAAATACCGCAATGAAAACCGTAATCGTGGTTCTGTTTCGATCAGCAAAAGTAGACATAAAACATCACCGTTCGGTACTTAAAAGGGTGTTTAGAATCGATGATCTAGTGACAACATACCAAATAACTGGTAATATTTCTTCTAGAATTTTTATTTTTCATTTTTTCATATTGTTTATATCTACTATTTTATCTAAAAAATAACTTCTTGAAAAGACAAATAATACGTCATTTTCAGTTTCACAAATATTCAATTTCTATCAAGACTTCGAATTAGTTGCGTGGTCTTGACTTTCATTAATGAAGACCCGTTGATTTAACTACAAATGAGCCCTTCCCACACTAGCAATATCATTACACAAAACAAATTTACAATAGTAAAAAAAGTTTGTTCACCCATTTCATAGGTATAACTAATTGTGAAATGAGAAAAAAATAATATGCCAACTTTTCTCAAGGTAAATTGTATTAAAAACATAAGATATTTTACTAATCGCCACATATACGGACAGAAAAAGAAACAAAGATGGATGGAAAGTTGTCACTTCATTCATAATGAAGAAATTTCCGATCTGATTTTATCGTAAAATCAACTAAAATCACTAGTTGGTTAAACTTGTTGTCGATATATGTCTTACACAATTCTCTATCTATGGACATCATAGGCACTAAGTAGTTGACTAAGCGTTAATTAGTAGTATAATAACTTTGGTTAGATCGCAGATTGAAAACTAAAAAGTTGAGTATTGCTCAGTAGCAGTTTCTTGTTTTGGACGGACAATCGTCATCCAACATCTATGAATGTTTGATGGTCGTTTGCGACGACAATACTTCATCATTTACTAGAGTGTTTGAATGGGCTCATGGTTTCAAAGGTGAACAGTTAGACATTCATGTTGATCGTAGATTTAGACAACCAGATATTGTGACGAATGAAACAATCATTTAAATTGTTGAAGACCGCCGAATCAGAACTCATCAGAAAGGCGATACTATAAACAAATCAACTAGCACAATGCATCAAATACTACATTTAACTGAAGTTTTTTCAGAATGAGTGCCATATTTTGTTTTGCCTAATCAACGACATGAACATGTTCTAGCGTTCTCAGAACTTTTGCTTCACTGTTCTATAGGACAAAACAATTTTCTGTTCAAGTTATAATTAGTGATAAATCCTAGGTTCGTTATTACGAACATGAATCAAAATGATTGTCATGTCAGTCAAAACGACTTGACTTGCTACTATCAACATGGCTGAAATAATTCTCTACATAATATTTATTTCGTTGTTTCTAGAGTAGTTTTATTATTATTATTCATTTCTTTTTCCATAAATGTTGGTCTTAATAAAACGTATAAACCCAGAATTACTATACTATGTTTAAAAGTGATAATACTGGCGCCATGGCCTTCGTTTTTATATTGCCGTGATGGTGGCAACTTTTTTTATTACTCTGCGGCGTGGTTACGTTATTTTTCAGGCGCGTCGCGGAAGCTTTGTTTTTCTCATTACCACAGTATCGAATTGAGTATGGCCGCGGCAGCTTTTCAGCTGCAATGGACATCTCTGAGCTGTAACTCATTTTGTTATTTTAAATAGAGGCACTTTAGGAATTTATTTAATGTGAATGTAAACATGTTATAATTCTATAAAAATAGCTATGCTAACATCAATGAGTTATCATTGACACAAAGACAAAATTCTCTATGGTAGTCAAACTCTATGTAACAGAAACTTTAATAGGGATCAAAGACACAATATCAAATCTCTTTTGTCCGTACTCTGACATCTAGCCGCGATAGCGATTGATACGAAAAACATACCCGAAGTGTTTAGGAAAATTGCTCGTGCCAATGTATGATTCTGATGCATACTGTTGTTGTTGTTGAACAGGAAATGATAGGATTGTTGCCATGTTTATTTCACTAAAAAGATTGATCGTCATACAGCATATTTTGTCCTAACAAATGTATTGAAGAGAGCAGGCTTCATGCAAAAAAATGCTTAGAGAGAGATTAGACAAATTCTGACGAATTCAAAAATCTATTCATTATTTCAACTCGTTAGATGATATATTTTAAAATACAATGAATGCTTGAAACATATGCACAAAAAATGAATAGCTAAGTTGAGTGTAAATTCTCAAATAGCCAAGCGACAAACAATGACACGTAAGTAACAGTTGCAATTTCCAGGTCACGCATTTTCTAATGTACTTGGTAGCGAGAAAGCACGTTTGAAAATGTTTCGATCGCATATTTACGTCTTTTCTTTCGATTATCTAAGGAACTCGAAACTCTTTGAGCAATTATTGAATAAACAACGAATCATATTTAAATCTATGCTTTTCTTCATCGGTGAGCGACATATTTAACATTACATAATACAAGAGAAAAGTGTCAGTGAAACAACAAATAAAAATTTGATAGAACAATGTTCCTTTATAATTCAATGTTTGATAAATGTTGATTGGATAACGAAAGTGTCTAAGAATTTTACGATTCAATTGTTTTAAATATCGAATACTTTTTCTTCCGCTTACAATTATTATTTCAGTAATGCAGTGAAATTCTGTGCTTGATACAAGATATTTCAGTTTGATAACGTTCTCTAATTGTTTTGAACGCTCTATCAATTTAGAAATGACTAAATTAACAATTTGAAAATAGTTAATTTAGAAATGATTAAATTAATAATTTGAAAATAGTTAATTTAGAAATGACTAAATTAACAATATGAAAATAGTTAATTTAGAAATGACTAAATTAACAATTTGAAAATAGTTATAGTGACAACAAAGTAGATAAAGAAAGAAATAAGAAAAATTGACGAGCATATACGTAGGTGAAGTTAGCACCATATTCGGGTAAATCCTTCCCATATTCGTTCAGGAAAGTGTTCCAAGCAGAACTCGACGAGCTCTGTCTAATGGTAACTTTGGATTTTCCATAGCCCAAACCAATCGTGAGAAAAATCCGAAATACTGCTCTTTTTCTATAGGAAAAACCTAACCTACTTACTAAAACCGGCCCATATTCGTCCAGGAACATGTTCCAAGTGTTCCAGCCGGGTTCCAAGTACAACTCGACGAGCTCTATCTAATGGTGTCCTTGGATCAATCGTAATGCAAACCATTGGTGAGAAAATCTCAAAATACCAGATTTCACTATGTATATGGTCACTAAAACCTGCCCATATTCGTTCAGGAGCGTGTTCCAAGTGTTCCAGCCGGGTTCCAAGTACAACTCGACGAGCTCTATCTAATGGTGTCCTTGGATCAATCGTAATCCAAATCATTGGTGAGAAAATCTCAAAATACCAGATTTCACTATGTATATGGTTACTAAAACCTGCCCATATTCGTCCAGACGCGTGTTCCAGCCGGGTTCCAAGTAGAACTCGACGAGCTCTATCTAATGGTAACCTTGGATCAATCGTAATCCAAACCATTGGTGGGAAAATCTCAAAATACCAGATCTTGACTATGTATATGGTCACTAAAACCTTCCCATATTCCGCCAGGAAGGTGTTCAAGTGTTACAGCCCGGCTCCAAGTACAACTGGATGAGTTCTATCAATTAGTGTATATAGATTGTTCACGGTCCATATGCTTTCTACAGAAATCATGAAATAATGGTTTACCACCGTAAGACGTACAACTATCCAAACTAGTTGCGTTTTTGATTTGTCGTGTAAATCAGTTTCAACTGTTTACTTCATTTTTTAAGTATGAATCCACGAACTCCACCAATTGGTAAAATTTGATTTTTTTGATAGAACTCATCCAGTTGTACTTGGAAACGGGCTGCAACACTTGGAACACGCGTCTGGACGAATATGGGAAGGTTTTAGTAAGCATATGCATAGAAAAAAATCTGGTATTTTGAGATTTTCTCATCAATGGTTGGCATTACGATTGATCCAAGGTTACCATTAGATAGAGCTCGTCGAGTTCTACTTGGAACCCGGCTGGAACACTTGGAACACGCTCCTGAACGAATA